CTCAGTCGTTGCCTTGCCTGTTGCCCGGTATGTCGTGACTAGCGTCTCAGTGCCCTGGCCCCAAGAAGAACCTGCCAATGCTTTTAGGATGTTGAGCTTGGCGTGGTCGTAACACAGGTCGTCAAACAACCATGCTACAATTCACCCATCGCAGAGGGTGACTTCTATTGACTGGGTATAGTTTAGGAAATAAAATGGAACACCAACTCGTAGAATAAATTGGCGACAGGTATGTCAGATTTAAAATTCTATATATGCACAGTTTTCATTCTTATCTCTGCGTCAGACCTGGACCTCGATTTCTGAGATCGAATGCAGCCATTACGGTGCCCTAAGTGTTAGGAGCCGTGCTAACGAGGCACGCAGCCCTGGTGAACTCTCCGGTCACGTTATCGGTCCGCTCACACACAAAGACCGCGCGCGCACGTGCGCGCCTTCAAGGAGCCGAGGTCACACGAGGCTTCCAGGCGTAGGGATGAACCAATCAGACTACCATTCGATTCGTTAGTCACGCGGGGACACAATCTGGTTGGTCCGATTTATAACCCTTCTTGCTTAAATACTCGTACAAGGGGCATAATAAAAGACTTCCTCTTCTTGCGGTCTTGGTCCTTTTTCTCCTTGTTGGATTGAAACAAAGTATCTGTGGCAGCACAAAATCTAGCTTTTGGTAACATTACAACAACAAGCTTATACTGAAAATAATTAGCCGGGCTGAGCGGAATGGTGGAGTTGGTGTTACACATCTGGCATCCGTTTAATGACCAAAACCCCACCAATCAATGGATAGAGGAATCAATTAGTTGATAACCAGGACGGTTAAGTGCCAGTAAGCCAGAAAGAGTAAGGCCGGGTTCCCTAGTACTTGAAAATCGTCACAAAAGTCCGTCGAAGAAGTGTGGGACTTACCCGTGAGGCAAATGCGGCCACAACCTCTCTTTTGATATTCAGAGCCTGGTCGTCCTCCTTCTGCAAGGCAGCCAGAGCCTGGAAGGTCAGATGAGTGGAGTTCCGACCGCGTGTAGCGGGTTCACAGCCAGTAAGGGCACGTTGCTCCAGGTGCTCCC